TGTGAAAAGGAAATAATGCAGTTGTTGGAGTCCCGGCGGAGCCCTTCCTCCAGCTGTGACTGTAACTGTAATAATGTACAAAGAAGTGGTCGGTGTTCTGAGACTGTGTGGCTGTGCAATTTCTGTACATTTGCAATTAGAAATATTAAAGATTTATTTAGCTATTTTAAGCCTGGCTCGCCTCTCCGTTCAGCTGGCTGGGGGAGGGTCCCAAGGGTGACGCTCGCCCAAGGAACCCCAGTGCTCAGTTTGCCCTGGGGGCCCTGTGGACAGGGGTCCCCTAAAGGTGGTGGTGGTGGCCTCAGCTCACCAAGCGAGCGGGGCTCGCTCCTGCCGCATGCCTTGCACTGACCAGCCAGGAAGTGACCTCTCTGCTGCTCTGGGCCTCCCCGGAGAGCGCGCCCCATCTCTCCCTCAGCTGAGCTGCCCTCCCCCCCTCCGCCCCCCCGAACCTGCCTCCAGGAGGGGAGACGCCCAGAGGGAGCGCTTGGCCCAGGGTCCCGGCGGGTCATGCTGAGCGGAACCACACTGCAGCTCCCGCAGCCTGGAAGGCCCAGACACAGGGCCCTCCCAGGCCAGACCCACCTGCAGGACCCACCTGGGCGTTTGGGGAACCAGCCAGGGGCCTGGTCGGCTTGGTCCTCTATGGCTGGCCTGCAGCCCCACACAGGGGCCCCTGCTGCGTCTCCGACAGCCCACCCCCCTCAGAAACCACAAGGACACGGACTGTGGTCCCCTGGGGGTGGGCGTGTGTGACCGAGTTGCCAGGCAGAGTCTCGGGGCTGCCTGCACACACACGGCCTCCTGCCAGGAACTTGGGTCCCCAGTGGCCTTTTTCCAGAGACGCCCCAGGGCTCCTGTGGTGCGCCCTGGAAGCCTGGGGGCGGGCAAGGTGCTGGAGCCACGTGCCAGACCAACTGATGCCCAGGGCCCTTTCTTGAGCCTCTGAACCTGTGGGGTTCTTGCAGAGCGGGGTTCTTGCAGAGCGGCTGCTGCGCCCTGTTCTCCAAATCCAGGTTCCTCTGAACTCAGCCATCAGGAAATGGGAATCCCCTGCCTGGCCCCACCCTTCCCTGCTGCCCTGCCCTCAGTTTCCATACACACACCCCACGATTGGGGGGCCTAGCCCCCTGCGGGGCAGGGGCACCCCGCCTTTGTCACGCTCTCCGATGAGCTCGTCAGCACCACCCCAGTGCCCCTGTGTCTTCTCTGCCATCCCCACCAGAGTTCTCGCTCCTCTTGACAGCATTCTTGGACCGTACCAGCTCCCTGGGCATCAGGCTGAGTGCAGCAGAAGCACTCAAGGACCCCCAGTTCAAACCAGGCCCTCACAGAGGCCTGTCTCTGGGCTAAGCGTTCCTCCCCTGCCCTGGGGTTCAGCCAAGTGTGCACCCCCGCTGAACTCTCCTCGCCAAGAGCCACGCTCCTGCCCCACTGGGGTGGGGATGTCACTGAAATGCCCTCCTGCCCCGCCCCCACTTGCATCAGCCCTCACTCCGCGTCCTCCTCATCTTTGCCAAGGCTGCCCCTGGCCAGGGCCACCCCTTGCCTCTCGCTGCCCCAGTGTCCAGGCATGCAGCCCACCTCCCCCCCACACTGTTCTTTCCTGTGGCACTTGGGGTCTCCACCTGCTCCTCTCCAGCCCCAGTGTTGAGTTTCCACCCCCTGCTCTGACATCCTCTGTGAAGTATGTTGTGCACAGACACATCACCGCCTCCCGTCTTCCCAGACCACTGTAGCCACCCCCAGCAGCAA